CGAGGGATTACTAGAGATTGTAAACCCTCACATGAGGGACGTTCCCGAATGTGAGGGTTTACAATTTCTAGTAATCTCGAGGAGACATGGTTTGTCCAACTTATAAACCGACTCATCGCATAGACAACGTTTTTAATGAAATAACTGTAATAAAAACTCTCAAATGTATAACCTGTGTCGGAGATTAAATATCGCCTGCAGTCGTTAACTCGGTTCAATGAAACCGGTGACCTCAGCACGTGGTTTCAAAAACGGTGCGAAATCTGCACGTGCGTCTCGCAATGGCACGAAATCTGAACGTGCGTATCGTTTCCTGCGACTATTACACGTTTTGCTTTGACTGACGCTCATTCATTGTACAGCCTGTTGCTGGCGTACGGATCTTGAAAAGGACATTCTAAAAAGCAGTGCTGCTTATCAACACCTCTGTAGCCTTGTGGTACACTCACTGGCTACAGATATGAAGGTGGCGAGTTCGATCCTCGGGAATATAAAGAAAATATTTGTCATTTGATTTTACATTTCATTACATGTTACAATCTGAACGGAAGTTATAATGATTGTAAGCCCTCCTGCGAGGTGTTACCACAAATTCAAAAACTCCATATCGAGTTACACAAACAGCCAGTAGGTATATAAAAGGAAATATCTACCATACGCTTCCCCATCTTCCCGAGGCAAGTGAGTTAACTCACTTTAAAAGTCCAGTTTCCACTCTTGCCGAACTAGGCTGGTATTATGGAGTTACATTTTGGCTGGACTAACGAGTCTGTGCATAGTCCAATCAAATTCGCGTACCGAAATCGAAATCCAGTTTGGAAACTGTTGTGCAGATTTCCGTCGATTGCAGGATTTGCAAAGCATGTGCAGCGCCAATTCTTTGTCAGCAGATATTTTCCAAATCTTTTCATGTTTTTAATCAAGGTGCTCACGTGATTTGATGCATTTCGCGATGTAAGACCCGTTTTATCACAATATATATCTTGATTATCGACCAGATCGTTTTGACTGGGCGCCACAATTTTCTGTGAAGCAAACGCAAGTGATACGAGAGGTGGAATCTGATTGGTCCATAGGAGAATCTTAGAAGGAACATAACTGGTAATAGCCACTAGTGGCGCTACGATCGAGCCCAGAAATTCCAGCCTAGTTCGGCAAGGGTGGAAACTGGACTTTTGTAGTCAGTTAACTCTCTTGCCTTGGGAAGATGACGCTTCCCGTGCCTTGGAGACTCCTAATCCGGGTGAGAATAGTTCCCCATCAACCTATGTTGGAATAAGAAACGACTTTAAATATTGTGGGGTCAGACTCGGTGACATGGTTGATTGTTGTGTGTCATCGTTCTCCGACAGCGTGCATTCGTAATAACAATATCAGTCACTGCCATGCCTTGTTGAGACACGATTATTTACACCATCATATAGATGACATATTTACAAACAACAGATTAAATCACTTTCCATCCGCTCTCAAAACTCAATATTAATAGCGTTAGTTCAAATGAGTTTGTGTTGGTGTTGGTCCAGATGAAATTACTCGTATTGTGACCATAACAATTAATCAGTTTATATTTAATAACATAAATCAGTCGATAAAATGAGAGTAAGAAATAGTTACATAATGTCACAGACCGTAGGTCAGTGGGGTACCTTGGCGGTTAAGGCATCCACTTGTCACACCAAAGACTACACAACGGCAAAAGGTACAATATATCGATCTCGATCGCGAATAACCAAAGTTAGGCTACCTTACAAGAATACTAGGGTATAAATGACAAGTCTCAAGGACAACTCTTTATTCAACGGGGTTAACGTCACACAAAAGCAAAGACAAAGTGTAGTAGAAGTGCGTGCTCACAATTGCTGCTTATAAGATCTTCAGTGCTTGTATAGTTGATGCAGTACGGATGTTGTCCTCGAGTTCTTTCATCTATTCTTTATTAACATCATGTATAAATCGGTTCCAATGTACAATATGACCATGCAGTAACGGAAAGGGAGGCATAAATGTTATATCAGAATGAAAACCTAATAGAGGTCGCTAGATAAAGACAGCATAAAGTGTGCCCTTGTCGGAGAATGGTATTACACGCACAGCAAGGAAAATTCCTATAAGAGAGAAAGGAGGCTGGCTGCCATCATTGCAGCAAATAAATGAAGAAGGAAGGAAATCAATTTGTCGTAGTAATAATATTAATTCTTCGAATATTAATAAAAAGAGCTTCCACTTGGAAGGCCATGACATGTGTCAGAGACATGCAATACAATTCAGTCTATTTTATAATGACAATGCTGCTTTTGTCAATTAGTCTCCTTATCTGCAGATGTTGCAGATGTGTTTAATGTTTGGACCATTTTCAATTTGAGACTGGTTAAACTTAAACATGATGTAAAATATATACTCTGCAAGAAAAAGAAACGCAAAAGTAGTAAAATCGTAAATATCTGAAAGAGTGTTACCGACATCCATAAAAATTTGATACCAAAAAAGAATTGATCATTTCTGCATGGATTTGGATTCATTTGTGTGGAAAGAATGAGGTACACCAGAAATTTGGTGACAAGATGGAAAAATCGCAAAAACACACAAGCACGTGAGAGCCTGGTGCCGAAATACACTAACATGACATGCAAGTGCAACATCACTTGTTGGGCTATAAAAACGTTGTGTTTTCATTTGCATGCCATCACAATGTTACAGCAAGTGAACAGCGAAAACATGCCACGAACGACTGAAGCCTAAGGCAACAACGCCATCGGCCGACTGCAAACAGGAGAATAATCTTCAGCTGTAGCCAGGTTTTGCCACGTAGCACCATTCCAAGACTGGGGAACCGTTATGAGACACACGGGACAACACAAGACCTTCCCTGATGCGGTAGACCATGTATCACTACTAAGCACAGACAGATTCATACGGCTCCGTCACTTATGCGAAAGAATCACCATGGCCGCCTCTACAACTACGGCAGGATTGTGCAGGATATCAGCTCAGACAGCGAGGAACCGTTTACGCCCTGAAGGTATTCGCGCTAGAGGACCAGTTCGAGATATTATTTTCTTTGATCTGCATCGTCGCCTGCGACGTCTATGATGTCGAGGTTACATAGTATGGCCTCAACTGGATGGAGAAAAATTTGGTTGAGTGATGAGTCACGTTTCATGCTTCGCTGTTCGCGGGTAACGTTATACAAGAAACTGCACACAGTGGACAGGTTTGGTGGTGTTAGTGGGCAGCCATCTCAAACACAGGTAGAACGGACTTGGTGCAAGTTATCAGGAACTTAACTGCACAACGTTACACGTTACAAGGATGAGATTCTTCGGCAACATGTTCTTCCGATTATGCAACAAGCGAAACGTCATTTTCCAACAAGACAACGACCGACTGTATCAATGACTGCGTGCACTTCAGCAACTACAAAAACCCCGAGAGTTGGCAATAATTCGGGATGTGATTGCATCGATGGGACAACGATGTCAGTCAGTCATGAGAACAGATGACCTTCACCTTGAAAAAGGTAATATATGGAACCTGGGCCAATGACAATGATGTGTGCCAATTTTGAATAATCGATTATCATCTGTTGATTATTTGTTTCATATACAAAATATACATCTAAAATCATAATTGCGTTTCTATTTTTGCAGAGTATATATTAACTTCAACAGGTAAATCTCACATGTGTACCATGTGTGTGTATTTCGTTGATTGATAACAGTGTACGAACATGACATAAAAAAAGCCACACACAGATCACACAGTGACTGCTTTATATGTGAAACTAGTTGGCAAGAAGCCAAACACACAATACACTGTACTTTGAGAGATATAGTAAAGCCAAGAATTAGTAATTACGAACCCTGTCGGGATTCAAGGTTATAATAGGCCCTCGGTAAGACATTGTATTTAGCGAGCCTTTGCGAGCTAAATACATAGTGTTTATTCCTAATACAGGATATTTACCATCCCCAAACACACAAGCATGATAACCTCTTTATCATATAATGTCATTCTTTAATTCTGTGCTTCAAAATCGCTTTCCCTCTCTCACAAACATTACCGAAACATTGCGAGTTTTCCTGAAATGCGCGCATTAATATTTATTACGTCACAGGGTAAGTGACGTGTCAGTCGGACGGTGACAGTAGCCACTATAATTCCAACGGAAATCTCTTTCTTATACAGTAGCGAAGCAACATATACGCAAAACAACAATTGCTTGTAATTGCCTTTCGCGGCAATCCATTGATCTGTCTGCTAGAGTAACTGCCCTTTGTCAAAGGGAAGCTACTCTAACCCTAGTCTATGAGACATCACGGCCACGGTCAGACGTTGTTGAAAGTCGGTCTGTCCTGTCATAACGTTAAGAAGTGTAATCAGATGTACACACAGCGACAAAACGAAACAGGGTAAAAATTCAAACATATTTCGGCCAAATCCAACTATTTTGATTTGTGGGGAAAGGTTCAAGCCACAGAGGTCTACAAGCACAGATATGGCTACTGATCCCGCTTGGCTAGGCCTCGTGCCCTCAACAAATTGTGTCGAAATTTATATAGATCTATCTAAAGTTGCCAAAACTTATAAAATGCCTTAGCTACGTCACAGTAAGACACTGATTTTCAGTATATCAGACTGTTCTTTTGATAATTAAAAGCAATTATCTCTGTAGTTTATCCAGATTCCCGATGGTTAAATCTGACTCGATCGCCGAATGCCGAGGTTGACGCCATGTTTGTTTATAAACAGTGAAAGTAGTCCCTACCTGACCTTTGATATTTGCATCTCTATCCGCATATGACCCCAACAGATATCGTTTTTATCCGTTGGCTTTATCCTGCCGAGAAACCTACCCATTATATGATAAACATATTAACTAACACTACTAACTAACACTAACTAGACAAATCCACATTTTTCATGACATACGTTTCTGTTTCAGATCAAACAAATATTCGGCATTGTCACATATTAACATACATTACCTATTTACGAAGTCAGTTGTTATTTGTCATTCGTGCAATGATACTAATAGTAATTCCTATCACAACTCCCATAAATAGCAGAAGCAATGTGTTGTTCAAGGCACGGCTGGCTGACAAATATTTCTTATCTTTCCCACAGCAGATCAGTGGACTGAGTTTTCTGATTGAAGGCTTCTCCATCACAACATCTGTAGTTTTCGGGTTGGATAAACTGTTACATGTTCTGGTTTCCTTTGCAACAGAGACTCGGTGATGGCACAGCAAGACGAGAACTGTGCTAATTACTGACAGAGCATTTAGCAGAACCATCGACGTCAGATAGATGACTAGTAGTGGTGGTTTCTCCGATGATGCAGGAATCTGTTCACTGATGAAACTCATAAAGACTGCCAGTGACAACAACGCCGACAGAGAAAAGGACAACTTCTCCCCAGACTCCACGGGGACGAGGAACACCATCATGCTGAGGACGGAGATGGTGACGATGGGTATCACAATGTTCAAGATGGCAAACAAAGGTTTTCTGGAAAGCTGGAATTTGATACGGACTCTGTAATAGAAATGTTTAGCAATGGTGATTTGACCACTTGCCATTGAAGCCGAGTCCACAGTCCATTCAGCATCTATGTTATTTCCAATGGTTGTCACTTGTTTTGAAACAGGACGGAATTCCAGTTCTTCAGCAAAATGATCTAAGGAGTTAAGATCGATGTAACATGTCTGACTGTCAAACGGGAAATACATCATGTCAAAATTACAGAAGGTTGAGAAATAACCAGGTACATGAACCACAACTGATCCATTTTTGTACAACACACGTCTTGTTAGCTTCTTCATAACCTCTTGGTCTTCGACACCGTCTTCGTTGAAAATGCTTGGGGTCCAAATTTCGCACTTCTTTGGGTGATAGTGTTTCAGTCCTCCGAAATCAGCCGATGTCCACGTGAGGAACTCGTCGATCCAAGCAAGGGACAGTATTCCTCGGATGGAGAACTCCTTTTGTGAATTGTCAATACGATGGATCCTCTGAAACTGGAAATTGACATCCATGAGTAGAGGTTGTGACTGGTTTAACAATGGCCTTACGTCTGAGGTGTAGTTGCTGAATAGGTGATGACGTAGGCGACGTAAGTCGACAATACTGGCAGAGAATGTTACTTGTCTTGTTGAAAGTGTGGTCAGAAGAATCAGGTGGACCCAAGACATGTTTCCGTGTTATCCAAACACACTGTAGTCACATCTGCTATTTTGCATTTCGTTTTCACTGAATGTCAGTCTGTTTGTGGGAATAATAGAGACATATCCCTTGTTGTACTGCAGAAGAGTCCGCACCATTGATTAGAGAAGTAATATTTGATTGGTTGGATGCTACCTTATGTCAAAAGATAAATGTGTGAACTATTTTAGGGTAATTTTGTGTAAATAACTTGCTGTTGCTTGTGTCAACTTCCACCCAGTTGGACCAGACTTCTGTACACGTTGTGTGTTGTGGAACAATGGAGACGGTGTTAGTAAATATTGACTTGATATATTGATTTGAAACACTTGCCAATTTCCTAGCGATGTCAATTAACACCATATATACCATTAACAAAGCAAAAGTAGTTAAAGTTGGTGAAAATGAAAACAGCAGATAAATGTTGTAATGTCAGGTCTCACTGTAACCTGACAACCTGTATTGGTGAGCTTAGAGAACGTTTGAATGACAAAACATACAGTACACTGTCTTATCAATGATATTTATTGATCCAACTATGAGGGAACTGTGTATGTAAAGGACACTTGGTTATCACGAGCTGCCACATGCACATATCATAAGTAAGTGAAAATGAAACACAATGTAAAGATTGTTATCTTGCACAGAAGCAAACACATTTCGTTCACAGAAGTCTATGAATTAAAGCCCATTTACCCACCGTGAACTGCAGGTTTGCAGGTTCTGAAAATTGCAATTTAATCAGATTTTAACCAAGGTGTCACAAAATTAGAGACTTATATTGCTTGTTTATATTTTTCACCTGTCCGTTTACTCTAAAGAGACCATTCTTTGTTGTGACTTTAACATACTCTACCGTCTGAACTGTATGCGTTTTGTGAATGTGAATGAAGAGTGCGCGCTACTCTGATACAGTATGGGACTTGCTTAATGCTAATTATTAAAGTGACGCTACCGGTGTTCGTGAAACTGTACATATTGTAAATTATCACACATTTTGCTATGTAATGTTTCATGTCCCGTGAGATTTTCATGAGGTTATGCATGTAACTTGTGCTCTGGTAGATTCACGTCGCACGCGACGTTAAATCCCATTTCTACTTCCATTACTTTCATGTACGTGATTAAGTGAAATCAAACATTCAGCTTGTTTACATGTGCCTGTACGCTGATATTCCCGTTACTGAAATATATAGTATCAGTTATATTTACAAACATATTCCAGAACAGAATGGAAATACTGAAAATATAGAGTACAGTAATACCGTTGTTAATATATTCTTTAAGATCTACAATCACTCAAACACTCTGTCCCACTCATTCACCTATCATTACACAAGGGTGATAGGGGTAAGATGGGAAATTTCAAAGTTGAATTCTTAATCAGTTGTGCCTAAAGTACTGAGTACTCAAGTATTTTATGTGTTTGGATTTGCTGATATCAAAATAAGGATGTGTGATTGATCACTTAAACGAACATAACTGTATTACACCACGATCGACATATCTCTTTTGACCATTGCTTGATTGTCCCACGATAAAATGTCCTCAAGAGTCTTCGTGATTTTAATATAAGGACTGATACGACAGCAGATCTGTTGGACACGTACATGCGCCATACGAAAGAACGGGGTACCTAAGGAATGACACTCTAAATATATTCAAAATGTTTAGGAATATATTTTAGTTCTAAATGTACGTTATGAGTATGTAGTGGTATTGTAGCCCCTGTTGTGTGTTATAGATCATATGTATATTTAGTTTCAACACGCAGAGCCTACCGGTAGGGCAGGACACGCTTACCCTTTTCGTCAAAACCTGATGTCATCACCGATTTTCAGTGATCCAGACCCGTGAAGATTCCGGGGTAGAATAGGTCTTCAGCAACCTATGCTTGCCATAAAAGGTGACCATGCTTGTCGTAAAAGGCGACTAACGGGATCGGGTGGTCAGGCTCGCTGATGCATGTCATCGATCCCAATTGCGTGGTTCGATGATCATGATATCAATCACTGGATTTTCTGGTCCAGGCTCGATTATTTACAGACCGCCGTCATATAGCTGGAATATTGCTGAGTGCGGCGTTAAAAAACCAACCAACCAACCAACAGTGATCCAAACATATCATTTTCGCCGCTAGTTTGCCTATAACAGTAGGTGTTATGACCGCCAACGATTTTTAAGATTATAGGGATAAGATCAGAAATTTCAAACTTGACAACAACTTGACCCCAACACAATTGACGCCAGTGGGCAACATGACCATTTGTGAGGGGCGGCACAACACGTGGCCGAGCATGGAGATGTGCTGCAAGTAGACGATTTCTAATCGTCTGAACCGTAACCCTTACGCCAGTAGTGTGATGAAAGTTTGAGCCTGGTTTCGGATCATTCGATCTTGTTGTCTTGTCGTTGACCTGAGGCGCCCTGATCATGAAAGGGGTCGATCGTCTTGGGTTTGTTGGTACCAGTGCTTATCACAGACTGTCAAACATTAAACGTATTGGCCACCTAAGATGACTTCTGATAGTTTCTAGTCTGTTAATAGCGCCGCATCGATAGTTTATACACACACAAGGAATGAAATATAGTAAATCACAACTTTATGAAAAGAGGGAATCAATAAGTTTGACGTAAATAATGGTCCACAGAGTTAAATCGACCTTCCTTGAAAGTGTCAAAATCAGGAATGAAACTCTACGCATGTATGTGGCGCCACTGCATGAGGCACGTGCACACTAAATAATGTTTGTATGATAGGATAGGATGTTGTCAACTCTTATCTTTGTTCTAAAATTTGGTATTAACATTAAGAACATTATTTATAGACGCTCTAGCACTAGACCACGGAGGCGGTCTAAGAGTAAAGATACTTTTACATGAAGCATTTGCACTCGCCACGCATCCCTCATGGATGTTACCACCCGTATGTATGTCCCACTGTGTGTGTCATCTTGAGTTGATAGCGGATTTCATTTGGAAAATCAAGTGACAGCTGAGTCAAGTTAAGATAAGACTAATGAAAGACTAATAACAGAGTTCATAACGAACATCACATACAACGCACCATACATGTGTGTGTGCTCGCACGTGTGTTAATGTTTTAGGGACATGGTTTTATTTGTTGTTTAACGGCCGCACTGAGCAATAATCCAACTAAAGGACGGCGGTCTGTAAATAATCGAGTCAAGAACAGACAATGCAGTGATTGACATCTTGAGCATCTATCCACGCAATTGGGATACGATGACATGCATCAACCAAGTCAGCAAGCCTGACCACCCAACCAATCCCGTTAATGGCCCTTTTAGGGCCAAGCATGGGTTGCTGAAGACCTGTTCTTCTCCGGATTTTCACGGGTCGTTGGAGATATGTAAAAGATGTTAATGTGTTGATATTTCGTATGATTGTGTGTATTCTCTCACTCACTATTGTAACCTGATAAAGAGAAATGTGACCTAATGGAAACGTGCATGATAGCGTTTTGTTTAGCCAGGCCCTTAACGCTATAAGGTTTCAACATTCAAGAGCTCAGTACCTTGTAAAACGGTTTATGGTAGACATGTGGAGTACATTTTGTAATTGAATGCATCAGTGACAAAAATGATGTCCGATGCAATTCCATATTTTGACTTGTACCATATGTTCCAGTCTTTCAATCAGGTGAACGCACACCTCCCTGCGAACACATCGTATCTTTACCATTTAATAGTGATCCATAAGCACACGTTCATGATATAGTCGGAATCGTACAATTGACACAGCAATGCAAGACACCTGTTAGCGTCTATGCAAATACATCATGTATACAATGATAAATCTAAGGGTTCCATTGCTGAAGACGTTAGAAAATATAGTTATGATTGAATGAATGAGTGAGTGAGTGAGTGAAGACATTATTTCCTTAATAAACATTGAAATTTACCTTTCTTACATAATCTGCATTTATAAAGAGGATACATGATCAAGGACGTTTTCCAGTGATTTCTCGCTTCGAAGAGCTATAATATTGCTGATGTGGCACAAAGCAATGTTTATTCATTCATTTCTAGTGCTTTCGATCTTTGCTCTCATCTGTAGTTTTCAGGTTGGACAAACTGTTTCATGTTCTGGTTTCCCCGGTCACCAAGCCTCGATGGTAGCACCGGAGGACGAGAACTGTGCTAATTACTGATAGAGCATTTAGCAGAACCATTGACGTGAGAAAGATGACCATTAGTGGTGGTTTCATTTTACCTACCTTTTTCCCTAAGTTTAGGAGAAGTTCGTTAAAAACTTTAAGGAACTGGTTTGGAGTCACCTGTATCCATATGGAATCTAAAATTTGAGCCTTTCCCTAACTCACCCAAATGTGTTGCACAAACATCTCTATTCCTACATAGGAATTCAAGGAGTTCCGTCTTTTGACTTGGGGTCAAGTAAGCGTCACTGAGGTCAAAACCTAACTATGAAGTAAGAGACACGGTGAGGTTTGATGGGTTCAAATCTGGCTACTAGCATGTGTGCTCGAAATATGATCGGGGCATTGGTGTGGTTTATCAATTTGATTCTTGCTTGACCACACTGGATTTGTACTAAACACTTAGCACCTAAAAGTTTGTATTTTGTCGGCAAAGAATCAAGTGGTTCACAATGACCTAGGGTAGGATTAGGCTTACGAACTCTCACTGGAATTAGGTATTACGATCTGGATGGATTCGTAAAGTCATGTTTTGTCACGACCGCGTGAGCTTTGAATTCATTAAAGGACAAAAGCGTAATTTTTGTGATGCCAGATCGAATTGAAAGAGATTATATACAGTATATGTTAAAGTTAATGGTATTTGATTGATCT